AGTGCTATGAGGTGGCCTCCTCCTTTCGAGTCAACTTTTGACTATCTTGCCCCTGCTGTTGCTTTGCTGAAATTTAACATTTCTGATGCTGCCACATTCATGTTGTGAGATGGTTTTCTCCCTTTTAATTCAGATTATGACCATTTTGCCCTTTTAATTGTTTTGGGGAATTTCATCCGTTTTTGTGGTGGTTACCGGAAGCCTTTTTTTGCAACATCTCCCGATGATGAAAACAAAAATTACCATCTTGTTGCAAATCGGTAGAGATTTTACTTCATCAATTTGAATCATTAATTTAACCAAATTTGTCAAATACAATCTCTAATAAAATTACAAATACGATATTTACACCAGCATATAACATTGTTCATTGTTTGAAAGGCTAGCTACTAGAAAACCTTTTTTAGGATATGAGAAATCATATCTCTTGTTTCTACAAGGTGATCTCCAACTTTCTTTGTAAAAGGATTGAGATTTATAACAATCCAAATGGTTTAAGATGGTAATATATTTTGAAATTACACAATAGTAGATTGCTAGTTCATTCAACTTAAAGTACGCTAAATTGCTAACTAAAGTAATGTAGTTAAATTCTTAAAAAATATATATTATGTACTCTAATTATATAGACTCTTGAAAACCATTTAATATATTTATAGAATATGTGATAGTCTAGTCTACTTCATAAATGAATGTGAACATATTTTGGATGAGATATGTCGATATGAACAAGTAATTTTTCAAATACCAACATCAATATATCAAATTAATTATCTAAGTGATTTTTTTCTTTCTAATCTTGTATACAGATCAATTCAAGTCCTAGCGAAAACATTATTAATAAAAATAATAAAGCATTGGCAAGACATGTTAAACGAATTCTTGTTTTTAATTTTCAATTAAGCTCAAAGAGTAATCAACAAATTAAGATAAAATGAAGAATCCAATTCATTTCATGTGATATAGAAAGATATTTCCAATTGAAAAAATAGATGTTTGATAATTTTAACTTGATATATGAGATAAGAATGTTGTATATAGCATTTTAAGAACTATACTTGGAATCAAAGCTATCTAAAAAAGTTAAGTTGATTTCTCCGGTTGTGGAAATGGTATTCTGCCTCTACCTCATTTTCTATAAACATGAGGGTTAAATATATGTCATTTTCCACATAAAAGAGAGATAAGACATGGAAAAGATTAATCACTTTAGTCATGAAAACCATACATTAAAGCTCATCAACTCCAAGACAATTGTTGGTGTTAGTTTTGATGGTGGTGATAAAACACCACAAGTGATTAGCTGATATGCATGTGAAAAACCCATATCAAGTGGTTTTGCATATGTTTGCATCCAATGTCGCTACTTTCTCCATAAAGCATGCACACAACTTCCCCCTACTATCAACTACCCTTCCTTATATCATCACCCTCTAACACTTACCGATATGAAAAATACAGATTCCAGATCAAGGCAATGTGATGTGTGTCGTATTCGAAAGACACCCGGAGTGTTTTCGTATATCTTTATTAAGGATAGTAAATACACTTTTGCAGCTTGCATTGATTGTTGTGTTGCTAGAATTTCTCTCAAGGCTGAAGCTGATGCAATTAAGGAGGAGGCAAAGATCAAGGTTCAACACGAAGGCCATCCACACCACACTTTAAGCCTACAATTAAGACTTGTTGCATCCGGTGTGATGCTTGCAATTCTAAGGATGAAGGCTTATTCTATGAGTGTGATAGTTGTGACTTCTGGATCCACAAGAATTTGCTTCCTTAGCCTCTACTATCCATCTGCCCCATCACCCACTTGTTCTCGTCTATTCACTTTTTGAAAAATTCTTTAATTTCCCATATTATTTTGAAATTTGCAACGAATACGTCCTGCGGAATGGATGGTTGTATCAATGTCCAACTCTATTTGTAAAAGGGTTCAATTTGTAAAAGGGTTGAGATTTACAATTCACAATACAAATGGTAAGATTGGTAATATATTTAGACATTACACGTTTTGTTGAACTTTTTGACATTCTTCCAATTTTACCCTTCAAAATATATATGACTAGCCCTGTCGAAAATACCCGATACTCGAATTACCCGTCTGATTTTTTCGGGTATCGGGTCGGGTTAATCGGGCATCGAGTTATTTTCTCGGGTATTCAGGTAACCCAATTTTCTTTTCACGTCGGGTATAAGGTACGTTTTTGGGTTTCGGGTATACCCGAACTACCCGAATTATTTTAAATTTTTTCTTTCTTTCATAGAGCTTGTACTCTATAGTAGGCATTTGATTACGCTTAAACTAACTTTCATTATTGTAAAACATGAATCTCTTTTATTATGGCAGTATGACACTAACAATAATAAAAACAATTGTTTATATGATACCATGTTCTTTAAAACTAACTGTTTTATAGATTACAGTTTTTATTGCAACTAACAAACTCATTATCTTAATGAAACTTCAGAAAATAGAAAAACTTATGGCTACAATTATGTTAAACATTTTAAACTTTTAAACTCAGATCTTTAAGTATTTGTTTTTTAACATCTTATTAGATTAGGTTAAGATGTTAAAAGATTACTTGATATCTCAAGTATTATTGACTAAAAAATCACAATGTTCAAAGTTTGAGTAACTTCGTTTATGCTTTGTTTGTTTATATAAACAAGTCTAATAGAGCACGACATATTTATTTTGTTAAATTTATTCTCAGGTGCCATTAAAAAAATTATATATTTCGGGTAATACCCGAATTACCCAAACCTGACCCACTACCTGAATTTAATTTGGGTCGGGTAACGGGTATTTTTTTAACATGAAAAACCCGATTTACCTGACCTGATCACCAAAACCCGAAAAAATTACCCGATCAACACCAATATCGAGCTTTTTGACATTCTTCCAATTTTACCCTTCCAAATATATATGACTAGGCTGTAAACGAACCAAACGAACACGAACAAGGGTTTGTTCATGTCTGTTCGTTTAAGTTAGCCGAACAACAAACGAACATGAACGGATAAACGAACGAGATTTTCTTGTTCATGTTCGTTCATTTAACAAATTACCTTGTTCATGTTCGTTTGTTTATGTTTGTGAACATGCTAAACGAACGTAAACGAACAAACATAAACGAACAAAGATAAAAAAACACAACTGAACATATATGAACATAAACGAACATATAATATAGCAATATAATAATTTTTTTTGAATATAAATGAATATAAATAAACTTAAACGAACGAACATAAACAAACGTAAACGAACATCATAAACGAACGTTCACGAACATAAATGAACGAACGAGACAATTGTTCATGTTCCTTCATTTAACTAAACGAACGATAATTTTTGTTCATGTTCGTTCATTTATTAAATAAATGAACATAAACAAACATCCCGCCGAACAGTTCACGAACGGTTCGTCGAACGTTCAGTTCGTTTACAGCCCTATATATGACATATGACAGTGCATGAAATCAGCACCATAATCTGGAGATCTATTTATCCGCCAAATCAGTTCTCTCTAAATCACAAGAAACTAAAAACGTTTTCCCTCCACTATCAATTTCCATAAAAGCACATGTACCAATTTTTCAAGTCCGTTTCTACAAAGCAATCTTCAATTGATTTCAAGGTTAGTATCATTTTCATACCACATATGTGTGCTTTTGTGTCAATCTTTTCTCGCAATTGCCGATTACAATGATTTATTATCTCGTTGATCTTTCAGTGTCATAAGTGTCAAAAGAAGGTTTTCTTTTTATTTGGTTTGTAGAAGCTTCAAACGAATTCAAGGTCAGTAACTTTTTTTAAGCAACTTGTTGTTTCTCTAATTTATATGATTCGGGTAAGAAGTTTTATAGTCGTTTATATGATTTTAGGTGTGGGACAATGCGATTGTATGTGATTGTCTAACTGTAGTTTTATGCCCTTCTGATTCCTTGGTTCCTATTTGTATTAACCAGGTCCCCAATTTCTACCAAGACTAATAAAAAACAAGGGTTTATAACAAAAAAAAAAAAAAAAAAAAAAACTTGTATTGCATATAAATCTTAGCAAGGTGTAACAATTAATTTATATATAGTTAAACTTCTCAAGTACTGCAACATCATTTTTTGATCTTGAAACAATTTGATCAAAGTGTCATTTAAGCCCAAATCACCATAAAAAACCATCATAGTAAGAACCCTGTTAAAAGATAAACCATAGTGCAAGCTAAAAAATCATCAACGTAGTATAAAACCGTAATTCCTTTTTTCATAAATTCAGTTCTTCTAATTGATGCCCACGTATTGCTCGACAAAATGTCTAAAAGAGATGTCATTCTTGAATTGCAAAAGAAAGTTCATGATTAAGGAGTAGGTCATACTGTTCAAGTTGAAGGTTGGTCATATGTGAAGTCTTGTGGATTTCTTATTAGTTTATTGCATCTGCTTCATATTGCAAGTATAACATGGAATTGGGTAAAATTTAAGGCACATACTCTGTCAGGTAAAACAACTAATAATGCAACAATGTTACTACGTTTATGCATTAATGTACCAATAAGTAGTACTTATTTCAAGCGTCTAATATAAAAATTAATTATCACCCACAATTTTTTTTTAAAAGTATTAATTTCTTCCCTTGTGAAATTTAGGATGCGTGGTACAAAGCTTTTACAAGAAATATGCCTCCTATAAAGAATAATTATAGACCTACAGAAGAACATAAGAATCATTCAAGATTTAGTCATTGATAATATTCGACAGTCACATCACGAGATGCGAGAAATTCGTGATAATATTGTAAATATAATATGGGATGCATGAAATTTTACTTAAATACGAATAATCAGAGAAATGTTTTTTAGTATTTACATTAATTTAATTTTTTTCTATTACAAATTTTTCCTATAAATATTGAGTCGTTTTTGTACATGTCTTTTAATGTCATTTTACTTTTCCTAACTAGCTTAGCAACTAGCTTTTATGAAACGTCGTTTTTATTAGCTAGCTTCTTAGCTAGCAGCTAGTTTTTCAACTAACAACTAGTTTTCTCGTTTCTCAGCTAGCAGGTAGTTTTTCAGTTATGAACTAGCTTTTTAGCTAATATACAAAACATAGCCTTAAAGTGTGATAATTTAAATAATATAGTTAAATTCTTCAAAAAGATATTATGTACTCTAATTATGTAGACTCTTGAAAACCATTTTAATATATTAAAAGAATATTATGATAGTCTATTGCATAAATGAATATGAATATATTGTGGATGAAATATGTGAAATAACAATAGAATAATTTTTGAAACATAAACATCGCTAAAATCAAATTATATATCTTTGTAGTTATTTTTTTTTTTACTAAAATTTTATATAGATCGATTAAAGTCCTTGTGAAATCATGACTAATACATACATATAATATCCATCGGCAATATTCGTTAAACGATTTCTTGTTTTTAATTTTCAATAAATCTGAAAAAAGTAGTCAACGAATTAAGATAAAAGGAAGGAATCCGACAATTTTCGTGAAATCATGACCAATACATACAGAAAGAGAATTTTAATCTGAAAAAAGATGTATGGTTAATTTAGCTTGATATATGAGAAAAGAATATTGAAAATAGCATTTTAAGAACTATACTTTGAAGCAAAGCAATCTAAAAAAGTTATGTTGATTTTGTGGAAATGGTATTTCGCTTGAACCTTATTTTCTAGAAATGTAATTTAGGGTAAAATATATGTCATTTTGCAAAGAGAGAGAGAGAGAGAGAGAGAGAGAGAGGATATGGAAGAGATTAACCATTTTAGTCATAAAAGCCATCCATTAAAGCTCCTCGACTCCGAGACGATTGTAGGTGCTAGTGTCAATGGTGGTGGGGAGAAATCAGGATTGATTGGTTGTTATGCATGTGAAAAACCCATATCAGGTGGTTTTGCATATGCTTGCATCCAATGTCGTTACTTTCTACATAAATCATGTGCACAACTTCCGCTCACTATCGACGAACCTTCCTTATATCATCATCATCTAACACTTACTGATTTGAAAAATCTAAATTCGAGATCTTGGGATTGTGATGTGTGTCGTATTCAAAAAAAATCTGAGGTGTTTTCATATACTTTTGAAATGGATGATATATACATCTTCGCAGCTTGCATTGATTGTTGTGTTACTAGAATTGCTCTCAAGGCTGAAGCTGATGCAATCAAGGAGGAGGCAAAGAAGAAGGTTGAACATGAAGGCCACCCAAAACACACGTTAAGCCTCAAATTAAGACCTGCTGCAATATTTTGTGATGCTTGCAAAACTAAGGATGAAGGCTTATTCTATGAGTGTGATAATGGTGACTTTTGGATACACAAGACTTGTGCTTCCTTAGCACCTACTATCTATCTACCCCATCACCCTAATCACGAACTTGTTCTCATCTATTCACTTCCTGAAAAATTCTTTAATTTCCTATATTATTGTGAAATTTGCAAAAAATACATCCACCGGAATGAGTGGTTGTATCATTGTGCAAATTGTAGATTTTTTGCACATATAAAGTGTGCCTTGCATCCAGAACATTCTTCAACTCCAAGGTAAATAAAACTTCTTTACTTTCTTTTTGGTGTGTGTTTGTGAATGCTTGTTCTAATTAAGATTATGTGGTTTCAGAGATGGTCTGAGTACCGTTGATGAGGATGAAAACGGTTTGATGCATTTTCCCATGTCAGTCGCGTTTACAGATCCATTGAAACTACTACATTTTGAAAAGATGACTCGAGATGATGATGAAACAACTAATAGTAACCATTGGAGTCATCCACATCCATTAATCCTTCATGTTCAACCTCAAACTAACAGCATGTCTGTTTGTAGTGATCCAATAGAGGTATGCCACGGGTGTGTACGACCCCTCTCCCTTCCATACTATACTTGCAAAGATGGATGTTCATTCTCTCTCCACAAATATTGCGCCGAGTTACCACTCAAATTACAACATCCACTTCACCCCGATCATTCGCTTGTTTTGATAAATGCAGCGGGACATTTTATAAATCATAAATGCATTGGTTGTTTTAGCTACGGCAACATGTATTTGTACAGGTGTGAAACTTGTGAGTTTTACCTTGATGTCAATTGTGCATTTTTACCCAAAACCATTAAACACAAATCCCACAAGCATCCTCTTATCCAAGTTATTGATCCTGATCCTTCTTGTAACGCATGCAACAAATATAATGAAGGTATAAGCTATATTTGTAAGCCTTGCCACTTCATATTAGATATGTATTGTGCAATGAGGTCGCCACATTCCCTTGCTCATAGATATTGCAAAGGGCATAAAATCCCACTGATGTATCCCCCTATCATGGATCATCCAGAAGATTTCTATTGTGATATCTGTGAGAAAGAAATGCACCCTAAGTTGCCCCTCTATTATTGTCACAAATGCAAAAATTCTTTTCATCTTGATTGCATTAGTCGAATCGATTATCAAGCAAACATGTTGTACAAGGGCACAAGAAATGTTTCCTATCATAAACATCCATTAACATTTGTTCGGAGAAAGAAAACGCCCAAGTATGTGTGTTCTATTTGTAATCAAGATATTAATGGTTATTTGAGCCTCGAATGTCGGGCAAGAGTCTGTAATTTCAATATTTGTTATGAATGTCATGAAAACTTATGAATCCTCAATCATGTCGTTGCTTTCATAAATTATTTCTAATATCTTGGCTTTATCTTCTTCTGTGTCTTAAATTCAAGCGATCTTTGCGCATAACAGTTACATTTTTAATTTGTATGCCTTCTTTATGTGTGACTTCAATAATCTTGGCTTGATTCTTAGTTGAATTAAGAAATCACATGTCCCATAAGCAGATAAATTTTTATCCTGATGTTGATGCTAAAAAAATAATTAGTTGCTAGTTGACATCAAGCTTTAACAACTTGATAAGCTATTAAAATTACTGAAGAACTCTTATTTAAATTCTGTAAATAAACCTAGTGCCTATTAATTCATAGAATATCTAGTTTATAAAAACTAACAATCCAAGTGCCTAATGGTCATGATTATGCAATGCGTTCACATTGACCTGAAATCCCAAAGCCTTTTGCAAAACTTATAAAAGACCATAACCATCCCACTGATGTAATTAAGGCATAGGAGTTTATATAATGGAAATTGTATACCATGAATTGCTAGTTTTCAGTTACATAACATGAGGAATCGATCACATTCAATCTCCAATCAAACAGAAAGATCTGAAGAAAATTGGAGTTATGTTTTATCTCATACTTGAATTCCTCCTTTATTCCGACTACCTCATCCATCAAATTAAAGGTTTCAATTCAAATCTCAATATGTTACAGAAACAGATCGATAAATGACAAAACATACCTTTAAAGCTCTTTTCTTAAATTTATTACAGAAACAGATCGATAATTGAGAAAACACATTATGTGGACAATAATGCCCTTACTTCCAAATGCCAGGATATGTCACAATTCACACGTTAAGATTTATAATCGCAGGTTTCCCTCTTCCTCACAATGCATTAACATTGAATTCGTCATCCTTCTTCCACTGTTGTTTGCAATCACACGCATATGATAATTGTATTTGGACCCTATTCCAATTTTCCCTCTCTCCAACTTCGTTCATGCTTTTGACTGATTTCTTTCGAATCACTAATTGGAAATAGGGCATGATCTGCAGTTGTCAAAGACATTATTTTTCTTGATTTTGTTACATTCATGTTGTGAGATGGTTTTCTCCCTTATATTTCAGATTTTGACTTTTCTGGCCCTTAAATTATTGCAAATCAACCCAATTTTTTGTCATCACTTTTAACGGATGAAGGTGAGTCAAGACCTTGACTTTTATTCTTATAATAATTTTATCCTTCCATTCACTTTCAGTCTTTCACTAACATTTTTATAGGAAAAATAGTATTCTTACAAGACTTCCATGATTGCAGTTATTGAGAGTGTTGTCCAAACACGTTGAGTTGCCTTAAATTCTCATTCTATTGTTTAGGATCAGAAATACGGTTGCTCCAATTAGTTGTGTTGAAGGACTACACAGTGCACCTCTAGAAGTAGCTAATACCTTGTCTCAAGATGTCTCTTTATGTTCAAAATTGTAAAATACATTTTGTAGAAAAGGATAATTAGTTTAGTATGGATTGTAAAAAACTTCAAAAAACTGAAGACATTTATACACATTGATACAATATTCTTGGGTATTATGTATGAATGAATTTCATATCCCTTTATTATTGTTGATAGGATTTATAGTTGGTAGCAACAATTTTTTTGACATTATCCATTTGTTATTGTGGATTGGATTTATAGAAAATTTGTACTTTGTTTCTTTAGCAACATAGTATGTGGATAACGGTTTTTTTTTCAGCATTGTACTTTCTAGACAAAGCTTTTTAACAACATACTTCTAGAAAAACCTTTTTAGCATCATACTTTCTACAAAAAAAATTTAGCAACATACTTTGTTTACGATCCTTTTTCAGCAACATAATTTTTGGGCAACCTTTTTTACCAAGAAAGTTTCTTTACAATCCTTCTTCAGCAACATACATTTTGGAAACACCATTTTTAGCAACATACTTTCTTTTTACAATCCTTTTTCAGCAACATACTTTCTGGACAAACCTTTTTTAGCACCATACTTTGTAGACAAATGTATATTTTGCAACATACTTGATTTTAATTTATCATTAAGCACAAAAGTAATTATTAATAATTAATAAAGGCATATAATCTCTAATAAAATTACAAAATACCAAGTTTCACTTCCATATAGGTGACTTTTTTCTTTCTGATTTTGTATACAGTTCAAGTCCTTGTGAAAACATTATTAATAATTACTAAAAATAATAAAGGCATTGGTGAGACGTGTTAAAAGAATTCTTATTTTTAATTTTCCATTAAGTGCAAAAGTAATTAACCAATTAAGATAAAATGAAGAAATCCAATTCACTTTGTGTGATATAGAAAGAAAATTCCAATTGAAAAAGATATGTTTTATAATTTTAACTTGATATAGAAAGAAAACACCCACAAGATATTGATTATTCTATTTTACTATTACACGAATGCAAAAATCCCTCCATGTTTGCTTTAAACCCTCTAATCAAAGTTTAATTCAAGAGCTCAACACCTGAAAATATCTTTGATTTCTACAAAAGAATCATAAAATCAAATCTCATAAACCTGATAATTACACCTTTACGTTCTTGATCAAGTCTAATGTGCATTTATTGGATAAGGACTTGGGTTTGGCTGAACATTGGACTACATTGAAATACGTGTTGGATGAAGACCCACATGTTCAAAGTGAATTACTAAATTTGTATGCTGAAATGGGTTTTCTTGGGGACTTAAAGACTTGTTTTTTTTTTTGACATCCACGACCCAGTTTGGTAGCTCAGACAATAATGGAGGTTGTCGGTGTAAGATTAGGAAGTATGGAATCGCATGCCAGATGTTTGATAAAATTCCCGACAAAGATGGCATTGCCTAGAACGCGATGATAGCAGAGTATGTGATTCATGGTGCCTTAAAAAGGGCTAGAATTGTTCAATATGATGGAAATGAACGATTTAAAAGTTAAGGAAGCTACAATAGTTTCTGTCATTCTGTGTCATCTGTGGAAAACACGCACACAAATATATTAACCATAAAGGACTACAAATTAACACAACTCTTGGTAGTGCACTAGTATATATGTACACAAAGTGTGGGGATATTAACATGGAAATGGAAGTTTTTTGGGGAATGAAATATAAGAATTTGTGCACGTGGAGTGGTGCCATTGGAGGACTAGCCATAAATTGTTATGGCAAAGAGTATCTTGACCTTTTTACCCTTGTGTAAAAAAGAAAACGTCACACAAAATGAGTGTCACTTTCACTTCCAATCTTGTCTTTGTAAGTTATGCAACAAGTAAGTATGATGAAACTTTGATCTATTGACAGATTATCAGTAACATTTAACAATGATCCAAAAGTGTCAACAAAAGGGAGATAGTGAACAAGATGAACAAGAAGCATGGTCTTTCCTTCTTATCGAACTTCTTGAATTCACAATATCCAAATGAACATATTTAAAAGACAATATTTGCACACCACGGTCATGGGGTGTTCTATTGTTTGAGTTTAACAGGGGTGACTTGGGGTTTATGACCCGCATGAGTCCAGAATTACCAACATTGACAGTAAACTTTATTTTGGAGCATGTTGTAGTAGATATTGTTTTTGTCCAACATAAAAAAAAAGTTAAACAAATGAGAATTACAATGGTTAATTTCTCATTAAATTTGGTATGCTTATTTACTTGAAAGCAAGAAGTTTTGTTCATCAATATTATAATACATATCATATATGATTCATTATTTTATAGAACAAAAGTCATTACATTTTAACTAACTATAACAAAAGTAAATACATTTTAAGTATTGTTTCAATTTTGAAACCTTGAATGTAATGTCACCAAATAGTGATGTATCTTCATGTCATGTCATAAAAAGTACCACATGAACATGCCACGTCAATTGGGAACCGGCGACATGTAAAGTTTTCGACATTGAAATAAATTAGAAAAAATATATTGTCAAAACAAAAAAAAATGTTGTCAACATTGAAATCAATTAGAAAAAATAGGGGAGCCACTGCTCTAACCAAGCCACTACGTTATAGTTAGACATTGGTTAGATGATTTAAAGGATTTATTATATTTTACGATTCAATTAAACATAAGAATATTTCAACGAATGAAAATGGAAGAAAGAAACTCAATTCTTTTCGTGTGATATAGAAAGAAATTCCATTTGGAAAAAGAGATGAATGTATAGGATGCATCACGTTAACTTTGAATATGAGAAAATGATGTTAGAGAAAGCATTTTAAAAAACACTACTTGAAAGCAAAGCAATCTTAAAACAAAAACTAAGTTGATTTCTTGAGACGTGCACATGTTAATGCCTCTTCGGCCCTCATTTTATATGCTCTTTAATGCTAAGGGTTTACATGTCTGTCATTTTCCATTGAATATGGATATCACAAAAGAGAGAAGATATGGAAGAGATTAATCATTTTAGTCATAGCCATCCGTTAAAGTTGGTCAACATGGAGACGATTCTAGGTGCTAATTTTTATAACCATGGTGGTTGTGGTGATGAGAAAGAGAAAACGGGTGTAATTAGTTGCTATGCATGTCAAAACCCTATATCAAGTGGTTTTGTATATGGTTCCATCCAATGTCATCATTTTATGCATAAAAAATGCTCACAAGTTGCACCCACTATCACACTTCCTTCCTTATATAAGCATCCTCTAAGATTAGCCAATTTTGGAGTTACACCAGACCTCTCTTGGAGCTCTTATGTTTGTTGTAATAAAAGAAGAAGAAGGGGGTTTTTGTTATTTCTATGAAAATCTCGAGTACAACATTTTATTTAATGCTTGCATTGATTGTTGTCTTGTTGAGATTGCTCTCAAGACAGAAGCCGATGCTATCAAGGAGGCGATAACAATCAAGATTGAACATGAAGGCCATCCACAACACATTTTAACCCTCCAATTAAGACTTGCTGCATTCCGGTGTGATGCTTGTAATACTTATAAGGATGAAGGCTTATTCTATGAGTGTGATAGTTGTGATTTCTGGATCCACAAGACTTGCGCTTCCTTATCCTCTACCATCCATCTACCCACCATAATCACCCACTTGCAATGGTCTATTAGCTTCCAGAAAAATTCTTTAAATTTGCACATTATTGTGAATTTTGCAGAATATACATCTGACGGAATGACTGGTTGTATCATTGTGCCAACTGTAGATATTTTGCCCATATCAAGTGTGCCTTAACTGCAGAACAACCTTCTATTCAAAGGTTAAACTTGTTTTCTTTTTCTTTGTGTTTGTGAATGCTTAATTGTTCTAAAAAAGAATATGTGATTTCAGAGATGGTCCGAGTACTTCTACAGTTGATGAGGATGAAAATGGTTTGCTACATTTTCCCATGTCATATGAACTTACAGATCGATTGAAGCGACAACATTATGAAAAAATGACTCAATATGATGATGATGATGATGAAAAAATTGTGATTAAGCATCAAAACTGGAGTCATGAACATCCATTAATCCTTCATGTTCAACCTCAAGCTAACAACATGTCTGGTTGTAGTGATCCAATAGAGGTATGTTTCAGGTGTGTACGACCCCTCTCCCTTCCATACTATACTTGCAAAGATGGATGTAATTCATTCTCTCTCCACAAATATTGTGCCGAGTTACCACTCAAATTACAACATCCACTTCAGCCGGATCATTCCCTTGACTTGATACACACATGCCCACAAAATCTTTACGATAGATACAATGGTTGTGGTAGCTTTGGCAACACGCTTTTATACAAATGTGAAACTTGTGAGTTCAACCTTGATGTCAATTGTGCACTTCTCCCCAGAACCATCAAGCATGAATCCCACAAACATCCTTTTATCCAAGTTATCGATCATGAACCTCTTTGTAATGCTTGCAACGTGTGGTGTGATCATATAAGCTATGCTTGTAAGGCTTGTAGCTTCATATTAGACATTATTGTGCAATGAGGGCACCACATTCCCTTCATCATAGGTATTGCAAAGGACATGAAATTCTGTTGACTTATCCCCCAGTCATGGATCAGCCTCAAGATTTCTTTTGTGATATTTGTGAGAAAGAAATGCATCCCAAGTTCCCCCTCTATAACTGTGGCAAATGCAAAAATTCTTTTCACTATTTCTGCATTAATCAATTTAAACATTTTGCAAACGTTTTCCACGAGGGCACCTTGAATGTTCCCTATCATAAACATCCATTAACATTTGTCCGAAGAAAGAAAACCCCCAAGTATGTGTGTTCTAATTGTAATCAACATATTAATGGTTGTTTGATCCTAGAATGTTGGAGCAGAGTCTGTAGTTTCAATATATGCTTTGAATGTGCTTATAATAAGAAAATGCATCCTTAATCATGCCATATGACTAGGAACTAAGAAAGGGCCATGTATGTCATTGTTTCCATAAATTATAAATATCAGTGTTGTAGAAATCGACCTTGGTGGCCGATTAATCGGCGATTAATCGCTTGGTGGCCATAAACTGATTACGATTAGGGTGCTTGGCGGAAATTGGTCAAAATCGGTCAAAGTCGGCCTTGACGGTCCTTGGTGGTCTCGGCGGTCATAGGCGGGAATTTTTTTAAAAATTCAAAAAATTTTAATTTTCTAATATTACACCAAAATTTTAAAATTTCAAAATTTTATGCTTTCAAATTTAAAATATTAAACTAAAATTTTCAAAATTTTAAATTTTCAAATACTTAGTTTTTTAGGGAATATTAATTTTTTAAATAATTTTATTAATAATTAAGGGTTCCCGATTAATCTCCGATTAATTCCCGCCCAGTCTGATTAATCGCTTATCGCCAGTCGACCGCCGAACGATTTTTACAACCTTGATAAATATATATGTCGGCTTTCTCTTCTTCTTGTCTTATATTCAACAACTCAGTGTTCGTAGCAAACTTACACATATTTTCAATTTGTATATACCTTCTCCAAGTGTGGCTTACCGAACCATTGCAAATCACATAACAATTTGCAATAGTACATCCGATCGGGATTCACTATATATGTGTAACAGCTTTTTCAGTTAGATCCATTAAATTCTTTTGTATTCTAATTGGAAACATGCGTGACCGAAGAAAAAAAACAACAATAAGCCACAAGCATTACATCGAGCACCTGGTAGGCGGAAGAAGAAAGCACACATCCACTCGTGGAGATGAAAGCGACATCTGCCTTTGTATGCAAGAAAGTAATATGGGTAAAACAGAAAACAACATAAAGAACTTGAGATTTCAAGTTAACTTATTCTCAATGGATTTCTCTTAAAAATTTACGTAACAAAGTGGTTAGATTGGGTGTTTGTCTATATATCTCGAACTTAAAATACAGACTCACGAATCCAGCTAGTTCTAATTACCTGAAATTACATTTACACTCTTCGATCTCAACAAAACTAAGTTCTGGTGCTATTTGTAACTTCAGCACTTTCGATCGATTCCAAATCAAACGCAATTCCCTCCACTGTGCATGTTTTTTTCATATGGGATGCGGCAAACAAGAAATAAAGAAAACAACTCGTTACGTAATTTAACAATTATCTCCAATTCTTGCAATGTGAGTCCCTCCACTTGCACATTTATATTACCAACCCTTCAAAATTCTAAACCATAATTTATATCAACCTATTTAGCAAAAAAAATTCAACCGAAGAAATATATGAAACCTACAAATTAAGTCCAACAATAAAGTCGGATCAAATTTCTTAGTCCTGTTAATTATATCAAAATTCATGAGTGTTACATTTACCGATATTAAATATTGAGCTTCATTTGGTAATCTAATTTTGAGCTTGTTCAATTTAAATATTTGAAAGTCATATTGAACTAAAGTGAAAGTTATCACTACAAAAGGGAAATGTTGTCAAGCATTAAAATCGAAGTTGTCAAATATAATTTATGAAAAAAGTGTGATAATTAAAGTAATGTACTTAAATTTATCAAAAATATATTATGTATTCTAATTATATACACTCTAAAACAGTTTAATATATTTAAAGAATAATATGATAATCTACTACATGAATGAATATGGACATGTTGTGGACAAGATTTGTTACATCGGAAAGAGTAATTTTTGAAATAGAAACGTCACCAAAATCAAATTATCTATGTGATTTCTTTTCTTTCTAGTTTTGTATACAGATCGATTCAAGCCCTTGTGAAAACATTATTAATACATACAATTAATAAAAATATTAGTGTTGATTACCTTGTTCCTGTCTGTCACCTCCATGAACCATTTTTTCCTGCTTGGTTTCTTTACTACCTGGCTTGATCATGAGTTTGAGCTCTATAACCTTCCTATCTACCCCTACTATGTCCGTAGGGATCCAAGCAAATATATGCTTGTATTTTTTCAGGAGATTGATCAGCATCTGTCTCGTGGCTGACGGGAGGTGGCTGACTACGCTGATCGGTTCATCCGGATATTCCGTATTGATAATTTCTTTGTCACTTGTCGGCTCTATTCGCGACTTCTTGTCTTCTTACACTATCTCTTTCGGTTGTATGATCTTGTAACATTGTAGCTCCCTTGGTGGCGTTGCTAGGACTGTTCCTGGCCCCTCCGTGGTGCTAAACTTTATAATCCCATGCATCATTGACGGGACTGGCCCAAACTTGAGTAGGGTCGTCCGCCCGAGGATGATGTTATGCTCTGTCGGGTTTCTCATCATGACGAAGTCTATTAGGGTTGTCTTCTTCTTTACTCTGTCATGTCTGGTCAGCGTGAAGGGCTGATGAATTGTGCCCAGGGGCCAGAGGCTGTTTCCTGTGAAACTTGTTAGTCTCCCTGTCATAGGCTTTAGGTTCTCCTTCCATCTATTGGGGAGAAGGCCAAAAGCTTGCTCATAAATAATGTCTGTCGAGCTGCCCGTATCGATTTATACCCGAGGAGCCTCACATTCTTGATAGACCCTTGGATTATGAGTGGGTCGTCACCTTGCCAGCCTTTCGGACGAGGGTCCTTTGCTGAAAATGCCAGTCCCTGCATGGATCTGGTGAGGTTGTCCATATCGTCGTGCTCCTCTTGCCTTCCCCGCTTGGAACAGATCATTAGGATTTCACGAGGCTAGTCACGCTCTCTGGCTGCATCTTTGGCGTTCTCAGCATCAAACCTGGCGCAAAGGCTTTGTGCCACCTCGATGAGATTCTCTTTCAGGTGCTTTTCTTCCATATCCCTTATTCACACTGAGCAGTTGACGGTGTAATGAGTTTGCTTTTGTGGTACTCACATAATCGTTCCTTTCCTCTTTTCACCGGTTGTTTGTCAGAGACTGCATAGCATAGACATCTAACCGCCTGCCTCGCATTTCATCTCTTTGGAACGGCCTGAAGCGTCCCTACGAGCATTAGCCTCGTCGAAAGTGCATGCCCCCCACCTTGGGTTTCTGGGGAAGATGGTGGTGGGCTATAGCGTCTTGCGGTCGAGGGGGTCATGGCATTCAGGTAGGCTTGTTTCGTGGACTCGCATTCTTCTTGCCTTAGGTAGCGTTCTACTTTCTCTTTTGGCTATGCCTGTGTCTGGGCCATTTTTCCTATGAGCTTTTGAGACAGGTCCTGGTAGGAGGTTCCATGTGAAGGCACCTGCTGTTAGGCCTTCGTCGTGACCCCGGGACGTCCAGTGTGGCATTGGTAAACCTGGTGAAGTGTTCTCTTACTGTTTCTCCTTATTTCTATTTGCAACTAATGATTGAGTACAAATCTACATTGTATTTACGCAGTTGCATGAAATTCATCAAGAATAAGTATTTTAACTGCCCGAAGTTATATATACTCCCTGGTCACAACGTCTTGAACCACGTTCCTGCGTTGCCGTCTAGGGTTTTTGGGAAGCACGTACACCAGAATCGCTCGTCCAATTTGAGCAATGTCATCATCCGCTCGTATGTGTCGATGTGGCTATCGAGATCTGTAGTTCCATTATAGGTCTTTAGATGTGGTAGTTTTGTTGTGTTTGGGATTTCATAATCCAAGACCTCTTTGGCGAATGGAGATGTTACACTACGAGATAGGTAGTCTTGGTTTGGGATTAGAAAGGCACCCTGCGGGTTATATTGTTGGGGTTGCATAAGCATGTTGTTATATGTTGGAGAGCGGCCAGGGTTCTGCCCGTAGAATGATTGATGTGGAAATGGGAAGGTTAACGTTTGGGTGGACAGTAGGGGTGTGTTTTGTATGACGGAATTATTGGGCACAAGTTGCTGGTAATGTGGGATTATGGTAGAGAGAGGTATGTTTGTTGCAAATGAAGGTGTTAGGAAAACCATTGTTTGGTTTCTCACCGTTTGGCTCAGCGGCGGTGTCTGAAAAACCGTCGGTTGAGTTCCTGCCATCTGGTTTGGCGGTGGTGGTGTCTGGAAAACCACCGATTGTGTGCCTACCATCTGGTTTGGTGGTGGCTGCTGGAAGAAACTCGGTGTGGCGTTAACGTCTTCCACCGTTGGCAGTGTCGTATTGCTTGGTATCACCGTTAGTAGGGGTGCTTGCATCGGAGTGCTTTGTGTTGACACTGCGGCGGAAGAAGTTTGTCCTTTGTCGACCGGTTGTTGTAGCCCGCATATTGGTGCAGAGATTATCGTCGAGCCGGCAGCTTGTGACGTTTCGCCGACGATTATTTTGGGAATTGGGGTGGTGGTTTGTTGCAGCAACATCATAGGCATGATGGAGCTGGTTGGCGTTCCGCTAGCTCCCCCGGTGTCGTCGGATGCCATTTTTCACCGATGAAGAGTGTGCTTTTGATTTGTTTTTCGTTACACTACGGATGACGCCAAATGATGTGACCTGGTTCCCCTTTGATTATGTTCTTCACCTTGGATGATTCCGACGAACCTGCGAGGTCATAGCAAGAAAGGGCCATCAACTGTTCTCCGGGAGGGGGCTCCCGGGAAAACACTCTGACGGTCAAGTCAGTAGATAGACTTGGAGTTGTGTTGTGGGTAAACTGAGAGAGAATCACTTACTTCCTTCCCAAGGCACTTGGAGTAGCCTTTTATACTAGACCCTTCTTCTAGTTCGTACGGGACAAGGACGTCTAACCTGACAAGATCGGGGACGTTGATTGGTGGATCGTGCTCCTTAATCTGTCAGAGCCAACGATCGGTTCAAGCGGTAATGCTCTGAGCATCTACCTTGTTTAAACCGTTATATTTGTTCCGGAGTGGAAGATGCCCGTGGCGGGGCCGAGCCTTTCTCCGCGAGCGCCCTGCTCTTAGGGGCGCTGACGGGCGCTAGGTTCCGTCGGGTTTAGCCTGTCGGGCGCGTCATGCCTTGGGACATTCTTTGGCACGACCGGGCACGACTTCTTCGTGCGTGCTAGGGCACGTCATCAATTTCAGTATATTAAAAGAACATTATGATAGCCTACTGCATAAACGGATATAAATATATTTTGGATGAGATATTTGAAATCACAAGAGAATAATTTCTGAAATACAAACATTACTAAAATCAAATTATATAACTACACAATTATTTTTTTTTTCTAAAATTTTATGTTGATCAATTAAAGTCGTCGTGAAATCATGACTAATACATACAAATAATATCCATTGGCAATATTTGTTAGACGATTTCTTGTTTTTAATTTTCAATAAAGCTAAAAATAAGTAATCAACAATTAAGATAAAAGGAAGGAATCCAGTTATTTGAAATCATTACTAATACATACAGAAAGTGAATTTCAATCGGAAAAAAGATGTATGCTAAATTTCGCTTGATATTAGAGAAAAAAAATGTTGTGAATAGCATTAGAAACTATACTCGGAAGCAAAGCAATCTAAAAAAGTTAAGTTGATTTTGTTGAAATGGTATTTTGATTCTACCTTATTTTATATAAATTTAATGAAGGGCTAAATATATGTCATATTCAACAAAAAAGAGAGAGAAGATATGGAATAGATTAACCATTAAGCCATCCATTAAAGCTCCTCGACGATTGTAGGTGCTAGTGTCATCGTTGGTGAGGAGAAATTAAATCTGGATTTATTGGTTTCCATTCATGTGAAAAACCCATATCAAGTGGTTTTGCATTTGTGTGCATCCAATGCCGTTACTTTCTGCATAAAGCATGTACGCAACTTCCGCTCACTATCAACGACCATTCCTTATATCATCATCATCTAACACTTAATAATTTGAAAAATCAATCTTCCAGACCTTGGCAATGTATTGTGTGTTGTATTCAAAAGAAATCTGGGGTGTTTTCGTATACATTTCATAAGGATGAAAAAAAAAAGATTAATAATGATCATTTTTTCCATTCAAAAAATAATGATCAATTTTTAAATTCTTTTCCAGAAAACGGCTATCTTTATGATTTTGTTCCATTCAAGGTTCTAAATAACGTAAGGCGTGACTTGGCGGCAATGTCAAGCCTCAAGCTTTTCCGAGCCTTGGCGAGTCACGACATTTGTAAGGCGCGACTTAAGGCGGCAACTTTCTATATAATTAATATTTTTATATGTATTTTCAACTATTATTCATTTTTATACACATATATGAGTTAAGGCGGCGTTTTGGCAAAGTTTGGCGTCAGGTGCAAGCCTTGGAGTCGTGGCGCGCCATGACGAACTTTTTAGAACCTTGGTTCCATTAGATCTCCCAATTATTAAGTAATCATTTTCTATAGCATTAATGTCTTACACATATTTCCTTTTCTTTTAAACCCCTAAAGCAGGGCATCAAATTGGTGTTATCATATGATTATATGGTTTGCGTTTGAAAATATAAAAGGTTTCAGGGTATATTCAACACCGAGCTTTTCTTATAGCTTTTATGAGCTTTTTAATTGTAGTTTTTTAAAAAAAATCATGGAATTAAAGAAAAAACTTCATTTGAAAGTACAAGTTTAAAACTTTTATTTTAACAAAAAAATAGTTCAGAGTATGGTATAAGATTTTTTTTTTTTTTTTTTTTGTATTTTTCTACATTTCAAAAGCTTACAACTATTTTTTCCAAACATTTCTACACAAATAATAGCTGCTTGCTTGCAATTTTCGGTTAGCAGGTAGTTTTGCCAAACATATACTTTGTATTATATATTAGACTTTGTACTTATCCTTAATTTCCATATAGATAGGTTACATTATGTGTATATAAATAGCATTTGATGACCATTAATATTCATGGGATTGCAATTTCTCACTTAGGATAACACAACTTTGAAAGATTCTTTAGGAAATCACCATTTACATCCTTGTATTTTATAAGTTATGGTAGCACAACTGTGAAAGGGTCTTTAGGAAATCACCATTTACATATATTTTAAGGCTTTGAATGATTACCCCCTTTACACCTCATCAATCCAGACATAAAATGGAAAACATTACGTCCTTCTTTTCAGACGATCATAACTCAAAACGAAAGCCAACCGAAACTAGAAACATGACATGACTTAAGAACTCAAACACCACCAATCTTAGTACCTATTTGTTTGCATATACAAAAGGGCTATCACTTTTGTATCTTCTATAACTCTGTTAGTCCTCTTTGTCATCATATAGCCAAGGAGTTCAGGGGGAAAACTGTTGGAAATATGCAATGACTGCACTTATGGTATTAGCTATGTTTGTAAGCAAGAAAATAATAAGGCTAACACATAAAAACATAAAGAACTTGGGATTGTCAAGTTAACTTGTCATGGATTTCTCTTAACAGGACAAATTTAACTCCTATGATTTATGAAATAACTGTGAAATAAATATCACTAACAAGCTGCTTCTCTGCCATCGTTTCCTGATGGGAATTAAATTCAGATTTGGGGAAGATTGAGCGTCTGTATAAATCTTGAACTTAAATTACAGTTCATGAAAACACATAATCTGGACTTGAAATTACCTGAAATTACTCTCATGCTTTTGTGCTATTTAAACTTCAATTATTTCTAATAATGTGATCTCTCACTTGCTTATTTAAATCATTAAAACCAAAGTTGTGAAATATAATTTGACATAAAATTATAAAAAGCATATAAACTCTGAAATATATCATTTGTTAGTTGTTTGAAAGGCTAGCTACCAGACGCCTTTTTTTAAGGTATGATAAAATCATCTCTCATTTTTACCATGGTCATGTCCAAATCTGTTTGTAAAAGGGCTGAGGTTTAAAACAATCGAAATGGTATAAGATGGTCATATATTTGGACATTACACTGTCATAAATTGTTATTTTATTAGATTTAATGTATGATAAATAAGTAATATAGTTATATTATAATATTATGTACTTGACAACTAGTTTCATCTATTTAAAGAATATTATTATAGTATAGATTTTTTTTTACAGCAGCAACCAAACATTCATTTACAACATCTCTAGCAAGAAGCTAGAGAAGCAAACAAGGCATTACATACTTTGAATAAGATTTTTTACCCACTCGGTCTAATTAAGAATATAATTGTCTTTTCTAGACTTGATCCACAAAAAAAGATCAAGACATCACCCAATCGAGCAACTCATCAGCTTTTTTTTTTTGAAAAAGAAGGTCAAATTGTTCCTAAACATCCAAATGCCCCCCACAAACAGCATCCAACCACCAAAGACCCACTCTATACCAAAACTGTTGGGAGAGATAGGATAGGAATCTTGGAATAGATGTCCAAATTCCATCTCAGAGTGATAATCTCCAAATGAAGACATATATTTTAATAAGGGAAAGAGAATTCCAGAGGGTAATCGAGCTAAAGGATTGGAGATAGGATTAATTGATCAATTAACTTTATAAACGATCTAACACTGAACTCATCCAAGCAAAATCCAATAGCCAACCTATCAGCATGATTTCCTACCCAAAAAAATGTATTCAAACATTACCCACTCTCCATTGTGAAGAATATAGAAATATTAAAGCCGATAAAATCCCCATCTGGACCATAAATTGCTTTGATCATGACCTTGACCAATTTAGAATTTTGATCACAGAGGACACTCCATCGCCATTTTGCTAGAAGGGCTCAGTTAGCTCCAAAAAGGCTACCAAGAAATCTTTGGAGTTTTAAAGGAGGAGAAATAGTACGTACGTATAAATGAATATGAATATATTGTGGACAGTTATTTTTGAAATACAAACATCACTAAAATCAAATTATGTATGTGATTTTTTTTTCGTTTTAATTTTGTATATAGATCAATTCAAGTCCTTGTGAGAATATTAATAATAATAAAAGCATTGGCAAGACATGTTAAATGAAATCTTTGTTTTTACTTTTCAGTTAAGCTCAAAAAGTAATCAATGTATTAAGATAAAATGAAGAAATCCAATACTTTTCGTGTGATATAGAAAGAAAATTCCAATTGGAAAAAGAGATGTTTGGTAATTTTAACTTGATATATGAGAAAAGAATGTTGTAAATATCATTTTAAAAACTATACTTGGAATCAAAGCAATCTAAAAAACTTAAGTTCATTCTCTAGTTGTGGAAATGGTATTTTGCCTCTACCTCATTTTCTATAAATTTTAGGGTTAAGTATAAGTTATTTTCACATGAGAGAGAGAGAGAGAGAGAGAGAGAGATGGAAGAGATTAATCATTTTAGTCATAAAAACCATCCATTAAAGCTCCTCAACTCTCACACGATTGTAAGTGCTACTGTTGGTGGTGATGAAGAGAAACCAAAATTCATTGGATGCTCCGTATGTGGAAAACCCATATCAAGTGGCTTTG